ACACTCTGAGCAAATAAGAGCGCAGGTATCGGAGGAGAGGGAGAAGCGAGGCCGAAAACCTGGGCGGTGAACGGGAGAGAGAACAACTCGGGTGGCAAGTGCGGACATCATGAAAATGAGCCGGGCCTGTGTGTATAGCCCAACAGTAAGTGCGAACAACAGTGATGAGATGACGGAAGAAAGAGAGCCGCCACTGACTTTTGTTGTGCGCCAAACACCCGCGTACCTTTGGAGGATCATCCGACCGCCTGGGCTGTTGCGTGCGGGTCACGGAGACTGAAAAGAGAAGCCACTGATCTTGTCCTGCCGTAGACGACCGTGCACCGATGGAGCCCTCTTCGTCCGATTTATTTGTATACGTTCGTACGCCACTGATCTCCGCTACGGGGAGGCTTGAGCTTAAATCTGAGGATTATATCGTGTAATCATCTTCTGTAGGGGCTTGCGGTAAAAGAGTCACTGCTTCAAGCTCCAAGCGTGGCAGAGGAAAAGTTAAAAAAGTTGATTAGCCCTGCATTTCCCCGCGATGATCTCCGTTTATTGGTCAGGTGCATGTCATGCAGCGCCACCCTTGGTGTCGAGATCATGCAACCGCGGGTACCCACTTTACACGTCAACAGCATACACCGATGCACACTTTTGGTAATAATTAATTAACTAGCAAAAAATTACTGTATTTATTTATCTGATAATGGATGTTATCATAAAAACAGGCTTTAGGAATATCACACACTCGATTTGTTTTAACTCTGAAGCCTTAAAAAAAGGTAAACAGTTGGTTGAAAGTAGTCATGTGTGCAATGTTACAGAAGTGATGGAGTTGGCAATTTGACAAGTGCCGTCGTAATAAGGCAGACCTCGATCGGTGACTTCAGCTCCCTACAAAGTTAACCTGCATGTACGTTTTATTTAGATTATTTTGAAAATTGTCTAAGTTGCAATGCACATGAATATTACTTTTATTTACAGTTGGATAATCATCGAAGTTTATGTAATTTTACTCCATCTGTCTTTGCGCTACTGTTACACTGAACAACACATCACTTTCTTACACCTACATTTCATAAACGTTTAAATAATAGAAATCATAATGATCATGTCTTATTTCGCGTATTTATCTCTCTTTTTGCCATCTGCTTCTGAGAGTGTGCTCTGGATCGAAAACTAACGAGGTTTTTTAAATATGTTGTTACATTCAAACATTTTACAACCTTTCTTGCCACCACATAGTTTATTTTTTTACATTTGTGTAACTGCAATTTCATAATATTCATACTATTTATGCATATGTGATGATAACATCTGTAAATTTGACGAAATTCTGTTATTCTTTCCTTAATTAAGCAAAAATGACAGTAATTTGGTACTCCAGGTTTCCTGTTTTCGCCACTACGCACGCTGCCGTCGACTCATCTATCTCCTCCCATCACTTGTACCTGGCCAATACCAGCACACACTCGTGCACGGGATATTTGGGAAATCAGAGAAAGGAGAGAACAATAGGCACCCCCCATCAGCCCCGAAACCAATACCACCACTCGTAGTCCTGGGCGTTGAAGAAAGAAGGGGAGACGCAGCAGCGGAAAATAGCTTTATGAAGACCTCGGACGGCGCATCGTCCCTGCAGGCGGCCGAGCTTTGAGACGCAGCTGGTGGCTTTGCCGCTGCAGCCCACCCCTTCCTACCCCTACGTTTTCCCCTCCCTATCCACCGCAGGACGAAAATGCTTACGGGGATCCACCCCTTGTCCTTCTCCCACTACTCTTTTTTTGACGTATCTCTTTTGCCGTCATGTGAATTATAACAACGTCTTCTTAAACGATCAGGGAATCAGGGATCTTGAGCCTGTACGTTATGCTTGGCGATAGTAGCTTCTGATTTTCGTATACTGGATAAGTTGAAACAAAACGAAATGTCATATGGATGTAGGTTTGGAATCTGTATGGGTTTTTACTTTTAAGGAAATGATGATTTATTAAGAGCATTTTCTTGTAGCTAATAACTTGGAATAGCTGTATCCCTATTGAAATTGATAGAAAGCAGGGAAGGGTTACAAAAAGTTGGCTCACGTTGAACGAATCCAAAGCAATCATTCATTTTGTTGAATCATTTACAGGATCGGTCAGGGGCACCTGTTTTCCCCTTTTTTTGAATGCTCTAATATTTGTATAAAACGCAGGAGCTAATGAACCAGAGCTAGTGAACAAGAAAGCGTTTGTATTGTTCCGTGGCCTAGCCATTGATTTTTTTTTTTTCTTGTTTTTTGTCTTATGCGATCCTTTCTTATCAATTTTGCCAACCTCATTACCAAATCCACAATACAGTCGTAAGTAGAACCGCACAAGTTGAACATCGCAGAGCCATAGTCATCTTATATTTCTTGTATTTCCGAGGTTTAACTTTTTCCTTTGTTGCGCGTCGAACTTTCGCGATAAGAGCCGAAGTAGATCCTCGAACGTACTACGCTTCATTAAATAGTAACTCGGAAAAGCAGGAGAGAAAAATATCATTTCGAAGTAGCTTAAGGGTTGCTGAGGACACTTTTGGCCTTGACAAGGGTCTGCCCTCACATCTATACATTATATTGTATGGTATACAAGAGAACAGCAGGATTTGTCTGACTAATGAAAAAGTTTTTTTTTTCCTCCTGTCTCCGTGCTAATCTTCCGTCACGTTTTCCATAAATCCACTTTCCGCCCTGCATTTTTACCATTTGTGTCTTGCACGGTCTCAAGCATTTTTCTCGGAAACCACGGAGAAGAAAACACCTTTCGCGCTTCACGGAAAAGTGCGTGAAAAACGGCCTTATCAAAACGTGAAATGGAAAGAGGAGAGAGAGCGGAAAAAATGTAATCGCGCGCTAGCTAATGCTTACGTAAAAAGAAGACAAAGAGACCGAGTCAAGAAAAAAAATGCAAGCTCGAGAGAGTTGGGCTTGGATGTGCTTTTTTTCCGGTACGGAAGGATATTGAGTTTTTTAAATCTTTTTATATTGTAGCCTTGCACGGGAAATGCAACAATACACGCGAGGAAACATTTTGACCGTAAGTTTCAAGTTCGCGTGTCACGCGCGTTTCGCAAAAATAACAATGCTAACGTCGTTATGTAAATTTTTGCGAGTTACGTTGATTAACAGTGTATTTCACCCGCGTCCAATGCCAAATAAAGTAGTATACAGGTGTTTCGCAATCACGAGGCAGGCAATCAGCTTGAAAAAACGGCAGTTGAAAATTGACTTGTGTAAAAAAACAAAATCATTCATTCCGGCGCATTAATCTGCTGACGACGCGTTTGTCGGAAATTGCTGGTTTACGTGCTCGTAAACGGAACACAAACAGAATTTCCCAAACGACACAGTGTGTAAAAACAGAGTTTACCGGGTGTCGGGGGGGGGGGGGGGGTGTGATGTGATGTGCCAATTAACGGGACGCTTTTGAAAACACGAGTTTTTTTATTGTCTCACTTAAATTTTCAGCGAGTGGCTTCGAAAATTTGATTAAAAAGCCACGACCGTGTGTGAACGACGAGTGTATTTTCATACCGTTCGCCGAAAATTTTCTCATCGACGGGGAATGTTGGCAAAAAAAAGGGTGGCGCGCGAAGTGTCAGGAGAAATTAAAACACAACTCCTCGTTGCGGCAGCAGAGCGTGAATGGATATTCCGCTTTTTATGTGCGGGGAATTCTGTCTGAGCTAATATTGAATGTTTATTGATTATGCCGAGAGATGCTTCGCGCCGGAAAGGATAAAATTACAGCGGTTGTTGGTCTTTTTCTTATCCGTCAATCGTTTAAAACTTTTTTGTTTAGTGACTGGATGTAACTTACGTATTAGGCAATCTTTGCGAATGAAATTAACTTTTTCATTGGTCAAAGTGGATGTTCCATTGGTAAGTATTGTGAAAAAGTCTGATTTTTAAATATTATAAACTCCATCGTCCAAATAAATAGCTGTATCGTAAATAAGTGATTATTGTTTATCCCATTAATCTCATTGTTTTGAGTGAATTTATTGAAAATAATTAAATCATATCAAGTGTGTAGAGTATTGGGCACAATATGTGACCACAACAAAAGGTAGAATTTAGCTATGGGTAAAAAATGGTGAAAGTAGCAGTAAAAAAAAAAAATCTTGTGAAAATAGTAATAGATAATTACAATTGGCGTTTAAGGAAAAAATTTACATTGCGTACGAGTTTTTTGTACGGGCATGCATTTTTTTGTTTCTTCAAAACAATATATTTATAAACATTGAATGCATATCTTTCAATAATTCGTTCGTTCAACATATACGTGACTACTTCCGAAATGATGCACGATTTATTAACGTTTCAGTAAAGTTGGAATTCTGTGTTAGTTAACATTTAATGACGGACTTTAAGTAATCTGCGTTGGAATTCCAATAACAAAGTCGTAATCAGCACGTCAAAATACCTTTAGTATTATTTTTAAAACAACATATATTTGTATAAGAATGAATTTTTGTGACGTGCATGATATTGATGAACATTAACACACAAAAATTTACTGTTTTTGTTAAAATTTAAAAATTAGAATAAAATTCCGGTTTGGTTTTTTTGAAGTCATCCTTTTGATGAATTCTTTTCTATGTCAGTTATCGATGAACCAATTATTTTTAATCCATTTGGACGTTAATCGGAATTTATTTTGCAAAAAAAAATGGATAGAGAAAGAAAATATGTTAAGCTCGTGGAATCCCCGCCGAATCGAAGCGCACCGCGTTTTTCCGTCTCGCTCATCAAACACCCCGACAAACGGCTCCGAGTGCATTTTCCGTCCCACAACAGAAATCGCGAGAACGTCCGTCTCGTGAGTATTCATCCTCCGCTTTTCCTCGTCACAACCAACAACAGCTCGTCCAAGCGATTGGCGTGTCTCACGGACGCGCGCAAGCAACTTTCGCGAGCCGGTATAAAAACGATCGTCCCCCCGAAACTGAGACCCAGTATCTCCCGAGCCAGTGGCTCACCCGCTCCGGCCATGGACTTTACTCTCCTCTTCTTCGCGTTCGCGGCCCTGCTGAGCATCTACCTGTACCTCGTGCGAAACTACGACCACTGGCGCACCCAAAAAGTCCCCACCGCCCCGGGTGTCCTCCCCGGCTTCGGCCACGCGCTCCCCCTCCTCACCCTACGCGAAAACTTTGGCACCCTCATCTCGAGGCTCTACGCCAGGATGGGCCTCAGGAGCATGTACGGTTGCTACCTCCTCCAGACGCCCGCCCTCCTCATCCGCGAACCCCACCTCCTGAAGGCAGTCCTGCGCAGCGACTTCCCCAGCTTCCGCAACAACCTCCTCTCCGTGCACGGGGACCTGGACCCCGTGATGGCCAACAACCCCTTCTTCGCCAGGGACGACCTGTGGCGGGAGTCCCGGGTCCGGCTATCGGCCAACTTCTCCGGCAAAAGGATGCGCTTCGTCTTTGCCAACTCCGCGCTAGCGTGCCAGAAACTCCAGGACTTTGTCGACCGCAGGATCGGCACAGCCGCCGAGTTCGAGTCCCGGGACCTGTTCGCCCGCGTCTCCGGGGAGGTGGTGGCGAGCACGGTCTTCGGGATTGACAGCCGGGGTTTCGAGGACGCGCCCGAGCGGGACTCCTTCGCCAGGGTGGCCGCTCGGTTCTTCGAGCCAACGGTCGGGAACGCTGCCCGACTGGCCGTGCGGTTCTTCCTGCCCAGGGTGGCCGACCGGCTGGGCGTGGGGTTCCTGACCAGGGAGATGGACCGGTTCGTCAGGCGACGGCTCGGGGCGTTTGTCAAGTCGACGCTGCACAGTGGCCGGCCCTTGGAGCAGTGCTACCAGTTTCCCTTGGACCTCGACGGGCTCGACGAAGACGCGGTGACGGCCCAGGCGACGTCGTTGCTGTTCGATGGGTACGAGGCCTGCACGAACGTGCTGAGTTTCATGATGTACCGGCTGGCGGGGAACGCCGAGGTGCAGACGAGGGCTCGCGAGGAGGTTGCCCGAGTGCTAGCCGGGGAGTTGAGCTACGAGGGCGTGAAGGGTCTCGAGTACCTGGAGTGGGTCGTGATGGAGACGCTGCGCATGAACCCGGTGTTTGGTGACTTGTCGAGGGTCTGCACGAGGGAGACGGTGTTGGAGGGCTCGGACGGGTTGTCCTGCCGACTGAGGCCCGGTGACGTGGTTCTTATGTCACCCGAGAGCTTGCACATGGACGAGGAGTACTGGCCCAGGCCCGGTGTGTTCGATCCCGAGAGGTTCGCGTCGGAGAACAGGGTGAAGTTGAGCCGATACGCGTTTTTGGGGTTCTCAGAGGGGGCGAGGATGTGTCCCGGGAAGAGGATGGGCCTGATGATCGTCAAGACTGTGGCGGCGGCGGTGCTGCAGAGGTACTCGATCGAGGTGGCGGAGAGGTCGAGGGGACCGCTCAAGTTGAACCCAAACTCCTTCGCGTCGGTGGTCGAAGGTGGACTGTGGATACGGCTCAAGCCGCTGAGGTAGTCGTACTTGGACGAGTGATTTTGGGGACTATTTTTCGTACAAAGTGTTTTATACGGTTGAGTTTGTACCTTTGGAGTTTCCAAAAAGGACTTGACAGTATTTACCTCTGACATATGTACACACAGTATTTAACGCATATGCAGTAGAAAATTGATGCGAGTTTTTTTTGTGTTTTACTAGTAAGCTGAAAAACGTTTGTTATGTTTTTGTTGACTGAAAAAAAGTAAAAAAAAAAAAAGTTTAACATATTGTTAATAGAATAACCAAGTAGTATTGTATATATGTACTGAATATTTATATTTTCTAGTTAAGCGCTAAGAATTGTTGACGTTATTCATACTTTTACTAGGATTAAATAAATAAAAGTCATTTTAAGTTTGAAGCTTACCTAAACATGAGAGATTCGTAAGTATTCTTATTTAACAAAAATCGAATAGGAGCTGAAAGTTTATTTCTTTTGCATCATCTTCGATTTTGTACTAGTTCTTCAACATTTGTGTAGATCCTTCTGTTTTGCATACTCTGGAGAACCTCCATAAATGGAAAAATAAATTTGACCCAAATGAAATCGGAAACCCAAACTATTTGTGCCCAACAAAACTTTGCAAATAGCTGCATGAACAGCTGATTGAATAATAAGTCAACGTTATTTTTTTCCAGCGTTGTATCAAGGCAAGTTCCAAATTGTCATTTATTATATAAAGGACAAAACAGACACATAAGAAACACAAAAATCAAATCGGTTGACTGATTTGTTGATACTCTAGGTCAGTTTGCAATAGAGTGTAAAATCAGGACGGATAATATCTATGAATGAACGTAAATTATGTAAAAAAATAATCAAATGATGTAAAAATTTATGACTACATAATAATTTACCCTGATTTCGATATTATAGTTTAAAAACAAGAGATTATCGCTCAGTATCAATTAATTGACACGTTTAATTCTTTTTCAGCCCCGATGCGATATTTTCCTTGAAGAATACAATTAAACGACATTTACCAATTGTTATTCACATTTACATATCTCAAATCACCTGTTCCAGTCGAAACATATGTTTATCCGTCTAGGAAAACAAAATCTCAAACAAAAAAGCTTCGTCATCACGTAATCTTCCAACAAAACATATGTCATGGTAAATACATCAAACGTCAATTTGTTAAAAATAGGTATATATACTGTAGCAACGGATGCGTTTACTTTCGCAAGCCAACTTTCAGCTCAGCTCCCGAACTTTATTATCAAAATGCGAACCAATGAAAAACAATCGAAGCGCCCCAACAAACGAGCCCCCATCCACTCTCTCGATCAGCCCCAGAGAAGGAGAAAATAATTTCCCGAAAAGCACTCCTCCGATCACGCGGTCGAGTCGTCTATAGCTAAGGAGGAGGAGGAGGAGGAGGAGACCAAAAAAGTTATTGATGTCATTACCACCGGGCTGAGAAGAGAGAGAGAGAGAAATCTGGACGCCTGCTCGCGATTATCCAAGCGGAACGGTTAACGATCCGTGAGAGAGGACTCTCTGTTCTTTCGACTTGGAGAGACGGCGCATGGCGCGAGGCGGATCTTTTCTCAATTGTCCGGCGATTTCTGTTGACGTATGGTTTTGTCGTATAAGGACTCGCCTTTTTTTTTTTTTTTTTTTTCTTCTCCCTCGCCCGACTTGACTCGGTTTCTAGAAATATCTGCAGGAGTGGTTGACGTCGCTTGATAGATCGGCCTGGGGTTTTTATTGGTTTTGGATTTGCGATTTCGTGGACATTCGTGGCTCTTCAATTTTAGCATGAGGATGCAGTGAGTATATTTTACATAATTTCTTTATAACTGATTTTGCAATTCATGAAAATACAGTGCACGTTACACTTTTCACCTGGAGAGGATAGAATAAGGTTATAACTATTTTTTTTAATTCGACATGTTTTGCATGAAATATACATAGCAAGTGTACAATTGGTTGGTTTTAATCAATACGAGTATAAATTTTTTTTTCTTTTTTCTTTCTTAAATTCCTTTTATTCCCCTACTTAATTGTTGAAGCTAGAGGACTCGATGAAATTTCGTTAAAAGCACCTTTGGTTTTCCTTTGAATTTAACTTCACAAAAAACTTTCAACAGGAGAATATCGATCCACGACAAAGGCCAATAATTGCGAGTTTTTTCTCTCTCTCTCAGTCTCGCAAATTATTCCAAAATCCCAACTTTTACCCGAACGGGCGTTAACTCGATATTCTAGAAAATTAATAAAATCGTTCCGTTGGTTGAATTTCACTGGCGTGGGAGTAGCAACCGCTCGGCAAAAGGGCCACCATTAGAACCTCCGTAAAAATTATGATTCCTCTGCAGCCACGCGTTAATGTGTTTTCGAGACAAAAGTCCGGAATTTTAATTTTAGTTTTTGAATCGACAACTTTCGTGGCAACGTTCTTGGTAGGCTCTTACCACGAGAACTTAAAAACATACTCTTTCGACTGTTAGCCAGTAGACTGTTCCAGATGAGTATGTCTGAGGGTTTGGTTGAAGAAAAAGTAACGGTGCCAGTATTTTTTGTGTTACTTGAAGGAATCCTTCTTTCGTACGAAAAATTCAATTTGAAAATGGCACTACAATAATCAACGACCATTGACACAATTAAGTATATAGTCGTATATTCATAACTTTAATTCGTACAAAAACTTTACAGTCAACACTTCATTCTAGCGTTAGAAGTATCCCACGTTAGGACCCCCGAAAAATCTCACGCGATTATTTGATTCCGCAAACACCACACCAAGTGCCATTTTCATTATCCCGAGGGGTGCACGCAAAACTATAAAACAGCAAAATCCCATTAGCAATAATGACCAGCGTCGGGCATATCAACCCCACTGTAATCGCGTTAGCGCAGTCGCCGTACACCAACAGTGCATATAAATGTCAATGACGCCGTTGGCGTGATAAATCTCCGATGGCAATCTTAAATGGGCGTTTTCGACAATTTTTTTTTTTTTTGTTTCTCTCCTCCCACCCTTATATGCGCTCGAGTAATGAGAATTTCGCGAATTTAACGAGTAACGTAGCCTACATAGTATGCATCACGCGAAGGAGGAAACCACGTGCCTACATTTCTTACATTGCACGTGCGTATAATAATCTCTCGCGGACAATTAGCCACTCGCGCTCGCACGTCAACTCTCCCCCGCTCGCTTCGTAACGCCGTGCGTCGAATTTTATAGACTGGACTTCCCCTTCGTGAAGTGATTTATCCAAAAGGCGTCAACGACGATCGCCAACTCTGTGATTTACACCCCCATCAGGTATATCTTTTGCCGTTTCATCGAAGGAAACGTTCTTCGATTGCAAGTGCTGCCCAGCTGACTTTACATTGAATATTAACATCACAGTGCGCAGTTACGGTGGATTTTCTTTGCAATTTCCTGATTATGCATTACCACGCAGGCCCACTTGCCCATACGTTTACATCCGATCACGTGGATACAAAGGAAGCACTAAAAGTCACGAGCTTTCGCGAAGAAAACGGTAAGGATGAATGGGTAGAGGATAAGGAGGCACGTGCGCGCGCCGAGAGAAAGAAGGCATGGGTATGCATATAATATATACACGCACGGGGCTGCAGTCGATCCATCAACATGCGATACGCCTGGTTGGTCCAGCCCCTTTGCTAAGCGATAACTCGTGGGAAATGAGGCTTTTGTGTGTGCGTACGTGTTGTACGTTCGGAGATACCTGGATAAGTGCCATTATCGCACTCGTTGGGCTGCCTTTATTAGGTTGAGGAGAAAGTTGTGTTACAATGCAGCTTTTTTCTTTATTTTTTAAATTAAATAATCGTTTGAGGTATGATATTTCACGAAGGTTTGTTGCTTACGTGATTCAATTGGAGATTGCCGTTTTATTGCATTCCTTCATGAGGGCTTAAAAAGTTGCCAGTTACAAAAAATATTTTAATTAAATTATCGTATAAATAAATGTTTATCTTCATTTTCACTATTTTTTATATTGATTTTAGCATTCGGCTATTGTTAACTCGTCAGGAAGGTTTTATCAATACTGGTTAATTGAGAGTGAGCAACCGCCATTGTATTGATAAAATAAAGATGCAATAAACAAAATTCAACACTTAACGTAACATCATCTTTTTTTTTATATTTACAACGACAGCTACAACGTTTTAATTCTGAACTTGTGAAAATGAGGTAAAATATACAATATTTCTTATCCCTATTATGGTGAGAAAAGATTGGGTTCAGTGCAGGGCCCAGAAGGTACGATGCATGTGTATTTACAAATGTTATGAGACTAAATAAAATTAAACTGAAAGTTCTCAAAGTTCCCACGATCCTGTGTTTGGATGTATTCGATAAAAATTCAATGATAAAGTTGTTTGGAAAACTTTTTTTTCTCCGCCACAAATTTACATGCAGACACAGCTTGACAGGCGGAAAAACCTCGAGAAAAGTTTTCTCGTTGAAGTTGAGCTTCTAAATCATTAAAAGTCGTTAGAACTGTTTTCCAGCCGGTCGAATGTTTGACTTGTTTCACGTCACTCGAGCAATTGAATTTAGTCGCAGGTAGTCAGTACTGCAAGATGCTGCTCAATTTCACGATATGACCACTGCATTGCGCCACGCTTCGACACAGTGTATTACGTCATTGTCAGTCTATTCTACCAAGCCAATAAAAGTGAATGAGTTTCAAAATTCTTTGCGTTCATTGCACAAACGACTTTTCTATTTTTTTTTTCCAAGAAATCGTATGTATAATATGATCATAGCATCAAAAACAAAAATAAACGTTTGGAAATACCTAGGATGCAAAAAAAATATGCCGTCATTAAATATATTACTTAATATGCAAAATTGATTGTAAGATATAGAGAAAAAAAAACCTGTTCTCTCTTTCACACGTCAAGTACATAATATCGACGCAAGTCTCATCCGTACCAACCGTCAGCAGAGTTTGTCTCTAGCCAGTTGCTATAAATATATCATACGTACCTATAGAGCGTCTGCGCCAGCAGCTCTTGATAATAACCTTCAACTCAGCTGATTTCAAGCACACCAGCATGTGCAGTTTTATGTACGACGGAAGTTTTATTCTTATTGCGTGGGTGTGTACAGTAGAATAATATTTCTTGTGATTTCCAAATTGCAGTTTGGAACGAAAATAAAAACGTGTGGCAACGGTGTGTGATTATTTAACAGTTTACGAAGAGGCTTCTTGGTTTGCAATAACGATACTTGTGGTTTATAAATGAGACTGGTGAATTCGTAGCTTTTGTAGGTTAGATATCAGATTGACTGACTATTCGAAAAATTGTTAATGATTTTTTATTGCATTATTTTAAATTACATGTACATAATCAATACGTAGTAAGTCACTTATATGTAGTACATACATTAAAATTTATCCGTTGAGACTTTTTTATGTTAAAAAAATGGTTTGGAACAGTAATTTAAAAATTGTTGTTTCAGAATATAATTGATTAGTAGAATGTAGAATAGCAAAAAAGTGAAATTTTGAATAGTTGATGGTTTAATACTGTCTTGATTTTAAAGACAGCCTCGGGCAGCCTCAATATTTTTTTTGGTGCTAATTACACTACATGGCACTTTTTCTCACGAAGAATAAAATTAACGTTCAATAATAGTGTTTAAATAGTTTATGTATATTTTGCAGAATTGTCTAAGATTCACCCCATCTCGTAGATCTTTTTATGTTCTGTATGTTCTTCAATATTTGTATCCTAACATGTAAATAATTAAATGTTTTTAATCTAATTAATAGCATTCCATTCAGTAGCAAATTCGTTCAGCACATTTTTATTTTCACGTTAAAACACATGATTGATTTGCAAATTTTTCACATTATTTCATGAAAGAAAATATTATTACGAATAAAATAATCTAGACGACTTAATTAAATAATTGAATACGTAGATTACTGAGATACACGCAGAATTGAGCGTTGAAAAACCACATATTAAGTTTTTGTGCAACATTGATGTCTATGTAGAACTTTTGGATGTAAGATCACAGTCTTTTAGATCCACCCTGTAAAACATATCTGTTTTTCTCTTCAGAATTTTCACGGAATAAATATGTGAATCGACCCTTTGGGTGAATTGAAAAAAAATTTCTTGATATAAAATTATAGCAACAGCCACAAAATTCAAGTATAAACAACAGCCGTTGTCATGTTGTAACAAATTTTCTTGATTTAAACTGCTGGAGAAAGCAGTTTAGAAAAAATATTTTAATGTTAAGCCATACGACTCGATGAATTTCATCGATGATTGCACTACATGTGGCTCATCAAAGTATATCTTTCCTGTATGCTCTCTCTCTCTATCATTGAAGGTAAGAGGCCCTTCGAAGCACATCCTACGTCCACTTTCCCTCGTATTATATAGATGTGGTCGTCGAACCACTTTCAGCATATGAGATCCCGCTGACCCTGTAAGTGTACGTGTGTGTGGGTGTGCCTGAGTGTAAGTAAGTACGTCACTCTGCCTCTTTGAGTAAAGGCTTGATGGTACCTCCGCCGACTCGGGGTGGACTTTGAATTTCATGATGTTCCAGAAATTCAATTCGGCCTCTGGAGTCCTTGGTGCGGTCAAATGGCCCTTCTTATTTTTACTCTTTTTCTTTTAGACCAAGTCTAGAAAAGCTAAAAGATACTTCAAATAACATCACACGAAAAAAACACGAGTATCAGTATATAAAATGTAAAAATTGTCAAACCAACAAGGGTTTGTAAAAAACCTCCCCCAAATCCATAGGCGACAATAATCAATCTTTCACCACCTCGAACCAGCCGATGTTTGAGTTATCCTCCTTCACGCTCGGTTTCGTAAAAAATTCATCTAAAATATTGCCCTGGCCGCTTAAAAGACGGGGAAAGAAAAGGACGAGTTTCACGCGGGCTTACACGTACAGGGACACCCCTCTCTCCGGCTTTTCCAAGCCAAGGCGAGTAAAGTGGCACGCGACCAAAGTCACATCTGGACCTTTGGCCATCGATCGACACAAAGATGTAGGGGGGGGGGGCTGGAAGGGGATAGTATACGCAGGCATTGAACCGTTGCAAATCCTCCCCTGCAATATTAAGCTCCAGGGGCGGGGGGAGGGTCCTCGGCAGCGCGCAGGTGTGGTCGGGAAATTTAGCGCTGCAGACATAGTTCGTGTACACCCAAACGCGGTGAGATTACCAGGTGGTTCTTTCTCTCCCTGCAATGAACAGCCAAATTCGCTATCGATCATAATGCTAATGCTGGTAACACACTCGCTTGTGCATACTATGTATATAGTCTTTGGATGGTCGGTGCTTATTTTAGTTTTTTCTTTTGAAAGATGACCGATGGAGAGGCGGAACAGCAGCTATTCCAGGGACCGATGGGAGGGTAATATCGTTGGCTTGTAATTAAAAGGGGATGTGTTGAAGCTAAAGCTTTTTCGGATTTTTGTGGCTTCGCTCTTTTGTGTGACCTACACCTACGTGTAGGCTTTTGTACGTATCTGTCAACGGATCAACGAATTTACATAGTTTTCTATTGCTTCTACGGATTTCGCTTATATTTTTTCGGGGGGTGGGCGAGCTTTTCCTTGCAGCTGGCGCTTTCATGTCTATTTTACGATAGCTTTTTGGGAATAAAACATTTTGCGTATTGAATCGTTTGAGCCACTGTGCGTGGATTTGATATTTTATTTTTTGAGCTTCGAGGATTTACAAGCTCAAAGGAATATATATAAACACTTTTCAAGTGTAACGAAATATATCGTCGAATATGGTTCCGATTTCGATTGAATTTCAAATAACGTTCAGAGCTTAGCATGGAAATATAAACCTAGAAAATTATATTTATCAACATCTTCACAGAACGTACGAGGGGCTGCGTACTCTGAAGTCTTTGAAAGACTTAGAATGACTTATAAAGTCTTTTTTAATGAGTTCAAGAGTGCGCAGCCCTTTTGGAACGTACGCATTTTGCAATAAAAAAAAAAAAAAAAAAAAAAAAAAAAAAAAAACTTGAATAAATTTAACAATGAGAACTCGTTGTGAGAAAAAGTCGGTTTGGACGCAATATTTCCTGAACTTAGATAATTCCGACCAGAGACGCGGTTGAGAGCCTCGTCATTCTGACAAAAGTCGCCCCTCTTTGCACCCGTGGTGCAACTTAATGAACGCCAATCGCAAGTCCTCTGCGTCTCATCCACCAAGATTTCCAATAATAACCGGCTGTATTGTACACGAGCACGTGTGTGGGATATACGTTTCACTCTCGATCCTTTGGCTGCACAGAGAGAACGAGAGAACATAGCGAAGGAAGACTCGTTAGGGGTCCATTTTCGAGCCTCGATAGCACTGCTGCCAATCATTGGGCTTCTTTCATTTATCAGAAATACACTTTCGTTAATATAAGCCTCCTTTGAGGCTTTCGGGTTATAGTTGTTATCATCATTGTGATCGTGTGAATTTTCCAGTCTGACCAAATTGCCAATGCGATTTTCAAGTGAATCCTATTCGAAACAAGATAAGGATCATTTTGTTAATATAATCAATAAAAATGTTTCAAGAGTAAAAAGTTTTTGAAGAAAAAAATACCTAATAATACATAATAGAATGATGGTTGTGTATTATAGTTAGAGGGTTTATTACTGTAGCAAAGTTGCTAGTCAACAATGGATGAAAGTATGATGTGATGGTTGTGAGTTGGTAATTCCGACTCTTCAGCATTGAGGTATTAAAATTACTCTTGATTTAAAGATGTATTATCCGACGTCACGCGAAATTCCGTAAATTGAAAGAATCAACGAGTCCCCCTGACTTACAATTGCACATGAGCGTAAGGGAAGGGGGGCACACGCGACCGCACAATTTTATTTCATTTTCTCCGTCGTTTCTCTCCTCCCCCGCAGCTGCACGAGTTCTCCTCGCCCCCTTTACTGCACGGACCACCCGCGTTCGAGTATGCGATGGCGCGTGCGTCTATATGGCATGTACACGTCACGCACTAGTCTCTTCGATTGTGGCAGCGGGCAGCGGCTTTCTCGACTCATAAAGTCTTATTCCAGTCGAGTTGATCCTCATCTCCACGGCGGCTCGTCATATTGCGCGTGTGCATAATAGCGTATCATGCACGTGGGGGCCTTTGCTGTTCGTTCAGATATTATATCCATACCGACTTTTGTGTGGACACGTGTGTGTACACGTATATATACGTCTCGAAGCAAGAGCCAATCCATTATTCCACTGCGGACACATAGCATGTCTCGCATATACACATATCTACTTGCGACTGAATGCGCGAAATAAGTCCAGACTTTGGTATTGTTTTGGATGTGGATAGTTGAGGTAGTGGTGGTGGAGTATTGAGCCTCGAGTATTTTGAGGGGGAGTAGCTGTGTGCTGCTTATATACGGGGATGAATAGTTTTTGTAAGGCGAGGGGGTTTTTGTGGAGATGCATTTTCTTTTTTTAATAGAACGTGGTGAGGATTCGTAAAATAAACGATGAAAGCCACAGAATATTAAAGATACTATGAAATTTTAAGTTCGCGTTATTTTTACAAAAGAAAAATGTAGGTGTCTGGTTGTTTATAACAAATTTTGTAGAATAAAATATATAAACATCCCTTATACTAAAAAAGTACTTCTTTTTGGTGTTTTGTATATGAGGGTAGGAATGGATGTATCAAAGAAAATATTAAAGTTTAATAAGTACATATTTTTTAGATCTCGTGAATTCAGGCATTTAGAATGGCATCTACGTTATTTTAGATCTGTATCGATTTATTTTATTAATTTACCCACGTGTTAAAGACGAATTCCAATGCTTCCAATAAATATATAAATATATTTCTTATAAATATAATTCTGAAAACCAACAAACTCAGCAAGTAATTCGTAAATAATCTTGAGGTATAAGACTGACACAATTTTTTCCAGTGGAATTGACAAAACTTTAATCGATCATTGAAATCAAAAATAAATGGGATACATGTGACCGAACGCTGAGCTAAATAGTTTTTTTTTTTTTTTTATCCACGAAGATACAGTTATAGCCACGTTGATTCTCAGAAAAATGGAGATCGGAACATTGCCAACACTACTTGGTATCCTTACCGTAATTCTCAGCCTCTACTACTACTTTCTACGGCTCACCACCTTCGACTTCTGGCAGAGCCGTGGGATACCAGGGCCTCGTCCAGTTGCGATCTACGGCAACCTCAAGGAAATAATATTCGGGAAAATGTCAGTGGGCGATCTAGTCGTGCTACAGTACGAGAAACACAAGCACCAGCCGATGTTCGGTATTTACGCTATGCGCTCGCCAATCCTAGTGATCAACGATCCCGACCTCATCAAAGACGTCCTGATCAAGGACTTTGCGTCCTTTGCCAATAGAGGCGTGCGTATTTTTGAAAAAGTTGAGCCACTGTCAGCCAACCTTGTGAACCTCGAGGCTGCCAGGTGGAAGCCACTCAGAGCCAAGCAAACTATGATGTTCACTTCCGCCAAGCTAAAGGAGATGTTCTACCTGTTACTGGAGTGCGCTGATCATCTCGAGAGAGCCTTAACCGAGGACAACGACGTGGTTGATGCTTGCGAGGTCACAGCTAGATACACGACTGACTGCATTGGTGCGTGTGTCTTTGGCATCGACATGAAAGCTCTCGAGGACGATGAAAGCGATTTCCGCAGAATCGGGAAGAAGTTTGTACAATTGGACAAGTGGAGGGCTTTCAAAGTTAGGTTCAAGCAGATTTTTCCGGGACTGTTTAACCAACTAGGGTTCATCATGTACGACCACGAGATCAATGACTTTTTCATCGGAACCATGATTAAAACGATGGAGCACAGAAGGAAGAATAACATCAAGAGGGGCGACTTTGTCGATCTGCTGAACGATCTGAAGCAGAATCCGGGAAAGCTAGAAGGAATTGGTGAGTGATTATTACAACATTTGTCTTTGAAATAACGAAGAGTGATGAGCTTTTTTTCATTTCACTCCTAGAATTGACGGACGAGTTGCTGACTGCTCAGGCGTTTGCTTTCTTCTTTGCTGGCTTTGACACGTCATCTTTGACCATAAGCCACGCTCTGTACGAATTGGCTATCAATCGGTCTATTCAAGATAGAGTTCGAAAAGAGATAGAAAAGGTACTGGCAGAGTACGACGGGAAATTAGTCTACGAAGGCATTGAAAGCATGAAATACTTGCACAAAGTGCTTAGCGGTGAGTTAATGGTCACGTAAAAAATGTGTTACTGTACTGAATTTATTCCTTCTGTTGCGTTACTTTTAGAGACTTTGCGAAAGTATCCGGTGACACCCATTTTAACGAGACAATCTATGGATAGTTACTCTTTTTCGACCGGACAACTGACAATACCAAAGGACACGAGAATCTGGATTCCGATATATGGTATTCATCGAGATTGCAGCATTTATCCAGACCCAGAGACTTTTGACCCGGAAAGATTTAGCGAAGAGAATATTAGAGAGAGACATTCGTCACATTATTTACCTTTCGGTGCAGGACCAAGAAATTGCATTGGTAAAATTTAGAAATACCATCTATTGAAAGGTGATTACATGTATTTCTAATTATTTTTGGACAGGTGCGCGTTTCGGCAACTATCAATCAAAAGTCGGATTAATAACTATACTGAAAAACTTTAAGGTGGATGTCTGTGAAAAAACTCCCATTCCCTATGTCAGTAATAGAAGACGGTTTCTGATCGGTCCAGCTGCAGGGATACCCTTGAGATTCACCAAAATAAGTTAGTTTTTTGCTATGCATTTGAACAGCAAGAGAACACTTGTGGATACTGAACAGTGGATATCTTTTTTTTTTTTTTTTTTTTTTTTATTAAAAAATTTTCAACCATAAAACTTTATTGTACACACAAGAGTAAGTCATGCATAATTTTGTATTCTCAAATATCAACATAAATCAATATTCTAAGACTAAAGAAAAAAAAAAAAAAAAAAATTCGTTTTCAATTCTAATGTACAAGGTACACATTTGCATTGGATATAAAGTGAAAAAAAAAACCCTACGCAATAAAATTTCAATCGCGGACGAGAGTTCGCGAAGCGGCCGATGAATTATTAAACTCGCATTTCCCGAGCTCTTGCGCCTCTCTGTCTCTCCCGTCCTCCCTCCTTCCCTCTCTCGTCGTCGTGTATGTTTACGCGAAAGCGATAAATTTTCGGAGACTTTTTTCGTGCGTTATACGAGAGCAGCCACTTCGTCTAAGTAGCGGCGCGTCTGCACCGTAACTTTATTGACGAGGGCGCGTAATTTGTACAAAGTCTCGCGTGTGGTTATAACGTCACAAGATACAGCCTTACCTGCGTACATGCAGCCGTCGTATGGGTAAGTATCGATCGTGCGAAATTAATTCCCTATTAAGATCGGTTAAATATAACACCAAAGCCTTTTTTCAGTATGGAAACAAAGTCTTGATTTATGAAGAAAGGCTTAACAATATAATTACTTAAACGAATTGTTTTTTCTTGTACGCAGATACATCGATCCAAAAATAACATTTTGACCTTGAGACATACGACTTGCGAGTCTTTAAAATAATTCCCATGGGAGGTATATCGAGATCACTCTCTAAGTATTTTATTTTTTAACATGTGATATTTTATTTTTCTTTACAAACAATTAATTATTGCAGCATTAGTTCATTTACCATAACACCGATGACCTCCTCAAGAATACCACGCCTTTTGCCAGGATAACATACATTGTTCCTGACAATGGTTTGGTCCTGTCGAGGACACCGGCATGACGTCGAAATTATTTATGACAAGGGGGGAGCAAGTGTCAAGGAGTTTAACATTTTTTTTTTATAAAATTCCGTTTTTTTTTTTTTTATGCTATAGGCTGAGTCTCAATAGTATAGCAATTTCCATCGCAAGAACTTAAAAAAATTGGATCCTTAAGCAGAACATCGAGTATTGCATATCTAATTAGTTGATCAATGGTTTGCTTTTGTTATTCAGACTTGAACATACATTTGTTTCTTTAGCCTCCGACCTTCCATCTCCTGTTTCGATTTACCATAGTTTTTCATGTACGCGTCGAATCGGACGTAATGCTTTGCAGCGTTGGAACAGCTCCAGGAGAAATTTTTTGGCAAATCAATCGATGACCGCGTTAGATAAGACCTGAGCCATTAGGTGAAATACGTGAAGCGTCTTTTCCAATTTAAACTGGAGTTTCTTTCAACGCTCGTATTGTAACTTCCGGCATTTACAGAGTTTCGAATATTTTTGAGCGTTAATATACTGTTAATGCGTACTATTAACTATGCCAGGGTATGGTTGAAGATGACAATTGAAATATTATTGAAAAGAAAGGGGACTTTAACTTTAATTTTTGATTCTTCATTTTATTATTTATTATTGATTAATAAATTAAGCAAATGCCAGGAGACATCCGTCTTTCAAGAAAAAAGATCATTGTTAGTTCAAAAAGAATAAGTACTTTAACTTTAATTTTTCACATTTTATCCCTTGATTGACAAGCAAATAACAGAGGACATACGTCTTTCATAAAAAAAAAAAAAAACGTCATTATTGATCAATAAAGCTGATCTTGAGCTTTAAATTATTTTGTATGTATCTGTAAAAAAAAGTAATTAGTAAATTAAATATTCTTCTGACTTGGTAAATTCAAGACTACCAATTTTTCATACACCAGCAGAAAAAAAAATTTACAACATAATTACCTTGAACGTAGAAGCAGAAAACAATTTTTCGGATATAAAATCGACAAGATAGACAGATCCGATTATATGCTGATTTGGTTCTTTAGAGTTTATACTCTTACACCATACCGGAATCTCTGTCTCTTTAAACACCTTAATATGTATCATCCACGCATCTAAAAAGACGACACAAAGCTCTCACTTTCGACAGTTTCAACACCCAAGTCGGGAAACCAACCAAAGAATAGGTGGTGACTCCCGTCCCGAGACCGATTAGTATCGTTGATGCACACGGTCCAACACCCTCCCCCCTCGATTTCTTTCTCGCACTGGCATTTAAGTTGTGCAGCCTGCAGTCGATCGATGGCAATCACATCGCGATGGGGAAGCAAGCAAAGGGAAGAAAAAGAGGTGCGATCACGTGATTTCCCGTGGGTACCGTCAATCCTAAATGACCCAACGGCCCAACACCCCTCTCTTTTTAACGCGCGCCCGTGGAGTGCGGCTGTTGTTTGCTGTGGATAGAGTATACACACACGCGCGTATAGGCAACATTGACGAAGAGAGCGGCCGCGACACTGTTTCGCAGGGCTGAGCTTAAATTTTCTCTCCTCGCTTCCTTCTTCCCATTTTCCGCGAGTTTCAAAGGGGGAGGGAGCAAGAGAGCGCGCAAATGTACGTGCTGTCTTCTTTCCTCCTCTTGATCCTTCTTTTTTTTTCCTCCCAACTCCACGTGAAAATTCACTTCCGATTCGGTACAAATTCGATCAAGTCGCGAGCGCGAGGAATTTCGTGCTTTTCCGCCTTTCGCGCTTTTTCCTTCGGGGCTGATTGTTTTATTTCGATTGACGTTCAAATGAATGAACGATGGAGCGGAATGATTGGCTGTTGTACGGGATGAACGTGGGGTCGAGTTTGTTTTTCTATGCGTTTATGATGGGATTTTTAGGCTGAAACAAAGGGTAATCGACATTTTTTTTAAGATCATCGTTGTTGTGCATTGTTTCATGGAAATGAAAAAAAAACTTTCTTGGAACATAATTTTTGCCCAAAATTTATTGTTCAACTAAAAACTTTTTTAAAGCTAAGTTACAAGACTTCAAACAGTATTAACAATGTATTACAGTTTGAAAGAAAAAACAGTTAGGAAAAAAATAAATGAATAAAGAAATCAAAGTATTCGACAAAGTACTTAAAATATTTGATTTCAACTACTTAACAACCCAATTTGATATCTTAAATACACTGTAGATTTTTCTACCAGAAAAAAAATTTTCTTTTAATATTGTATACTAATTTTACCGATAGAAATAAAGATTCGTACAGATATTCAATGATTGTATGAGTCGAAGCAAATGTAATCTTTTCAACTCTGAGGATACATGACCTTCATTTATATTAATACTTGTCGATTCTCATTGCGCAATAAAGACAAAAGTCCTCTTGTATATGCTCAAGAATTTATGAAAAAAAAAGATGAAAAGTCACAGTCCATCGAGATTAACGACAATGAACGAATGAACCAAGTACGCGAAAACTTAAAGCCGAAGGATGTATGCACACAACATGTGGATGCTAGGGATTACGCGTCGCAGCCATCGTACGTGACTGTATATGTACACACTCGTAAAGACACCGTACTCCCCCGCAATCCACAGTATGCAACAACAACAGCAGCGTCTCCCGACGCGCCGAAGGTAACCCTCTCCAGTGGGGGCTGTATACATATAGGCATCGCGAGAGTGGGAGCGTAAAAAATGTACGAGAGGAGTCGAATTGGAAAAATGGGAGAACCGGGAGTCGAAGGTAATGAGGGGATCAGCGGGAGAAATATATCGCCAGGCGAGCTGATACAGATAAATGTGGATTTGAAGAGGCGTGCCTGTATGTGCGCGTAAAATGTATATACTACACGCGAGGGGGGGGGGTACATCAGACGCTGTACACATCCATCGATGCGAATGGAAGAGGAAAAAAAAAAATTATTTACTGCCACTGCTGGTTGTAATGCATATTTGACCGAGCAAGAAATGAAGTTCTCTCCACCCGTTCTGGAGGAACAATAAAAATGATTGCATCGCCAATGAAATACCTGGGCAATCCAATTCATCTGATGGAATCCACGGAAAGAATACGCGTTCAAATTAAACATTAGCTTTTCGATAAATATTTTCCCAGCCAAGCCCGTAACGGCACGTGATATCTGTACCTATACTGTACAGACAGTAGCGGCAGTTGCTGTACGGGCAATCACCGCTACATGGAAGACGTTGTTGGGTACTTCCTCTTCGGAAAATGATAGCACAACTGCAGCAGTCGAAGGCTCTGGGGAGGACAGGAGATTGCCAACGAAAACGAGAAGTTCGTGTTTCCCACTGGAGAGCTATTTTCTAGTAGTTGTAGTTATGGATTTTGCGGGGATAAATATTTTCAAGAAGAAATGCGCCCCCAAATTTCAGCTGTGCCGATGTAATGGCATTGTTTTGGTGTAATATTACGAAAACCGGGTACAACGGAGCAGCAAAATAAAATAGGTATGCGAGGGAAACAGATGGAGAAAAGAAGAAAACAGCTTACCTAAGCAAAGCAGCCGAAACTCTCGTAAAATTCATCCGTGATATTACGTTTGTTCCCTTCCAGCATCAGGTATTCCCCCTCAATCGTGTATACTATGTACCGACTCGTGTACACATGTGCTGCGGAAAAAAAAAAATTGCACAACGTAGGCGCACTTTGAGGAAATTTATATTGCCGGCTCCCCCTTTCTCATCCCTGCATTTTTCCTTCTCGCCCCCGCTCCCTCTGCAAGTACACGTGAATTCGGAGAACGCGGAAAAAATTCTGGGCTGCTGCCGTTTGTTCTTTTTTTTCTTTTCTTCACGATGAGGAGGAGGAGAGCTTTGATACGGTAGACGGATTTGATGGAGCGGATTCTACTTCTTTAAGGACTACCGGTTGGGTTTATGCGGTAACGCAAGTACGTGCATCGGATTTTTTTTTTTTTTTTTTTTTTGTAATCACTTTGTCGTTTTTTGTGCAAGTCCAAGGAAATACCATGAAGTAAGTTGATGGAGTACCTGAAATAGATACAAGTTACCGGCAGTATAATTAAAACGACACGAGACGAAAAACAAGGGTACACTGGCGGT